CGATATGTCATATATGACTAGCAGTTTTGTGTTACAAGTGGTTGTGTTCAGTAATGATGGTGCTCTGAATAACAGAGAACAGTCACGTGTTTTTTAGGATACTTATTTATAATTCAATCTTTGCAACACAGCTTCATCTTTAGCCTCATTTTGATCAATAGACCATATTCGGATTCTCGGTTTTGGACTGGAACTAGCTTGCAATGGAGGCTAATATCATTAAAAAGAGATTCCCCGCTGTAGCCTCAGTTACAAACTAGTTCCAGTCCTATACCGAGAATATCATATATTCTGTTCAAGCACACCTTTCTCCTTTATCCAATTAACGTGTTAGTATATTTTTCTCTCGCTTCACAGGGAACCGTTTCCGCCAGAAAAGGTCAAGAAAGAGACAACTTCCAGAAGAAAACGTTCAGTGAACTATACTGGACTGTAAACGCGATCTCACTTTCCACTGAGTTCCAACAACGATCTGCTTCTAATTTCTCGCAACAAGTTCAATATAAGCCAAGCATGCAGGTCATGGGAGATAAGGAATAAATCATCAAACAGAAATTGTGTTAGCCACGGATAAAGTGACTTTCATCTTTCGTCTATGGAAGGCTGTGATGAGAATTCAAAGACTTTCAAATAGACAGAAGTACCCTCCTACACTTTTATACAGTCAAATTTTATATATCAACAAACACATTTTTTATTAAGTGAATATACATTTTGGAATGGGTTGTTGTAAAAAATGGAACACAAATTGGTTCAAAAAGTCTAGAAGTCAAAAAGTCTTCAAAACTGCGATTGATCCAAAATCGAGAAAACTTTATCTTTGGGGATGTATGTTGTGCAAAGGGAGAAATTTTTATTGATCACTATACAAATCTAACTTGGCTCCGAAACTTTGGGGAACAAAATAATTAATTATTCATCCGTCAACCTCATTGTCATTTCTTTTGTTTTATGTCCTCAAGTCTCGGATCCATTATAATAATATATCCAAATTGGCCGTTTTGTTCAGACGACTTCTTTTCACTTTGTCTCCTGTATCGGTTTACTGGCTGTTTCTGAGTTATTTCGATTTTAGTTTCAAACTAGCAGCACAGGTTACAATATCTTTAATACTGTTGTTTACATTCGTAACTTTCAAGATAGTGGAACGATTTGAAAGCTCTTTCAATCCTATGTTTTTTCATCACTGCATGGGGTCTAGTTTTGCTTAGTTAGCAAATGTTGTCACTATGTTTTGCTTGTTTTATCATGATGATAAGGAATCCACCTCACTGTTTGAAATATTTGCATGAAGAATTTTTGAAGCGCAACTATGACTGAATTGTCCCGTTAACTTATTAACCGAGAAGAAAAACCTGACTAAGAGTTTAAGAAAGCTCGCGATAATGCAATTATCAAAGCCGCGCCCGGCAATGGTACAATAAATTGATTTTATATTTGTTCTTTTTGTCTTATTGCATCTTGTTCTGACTAAATACCTCCAAACACAAGCTGAAGACAAACTATTACTAAAAACAGTAGTTTAAGGCCTCACTCGAAAGAACACTACTACTGAAGGACAACATTCAACGCTTAGGCCTGATTCACACTAGCGACATAACGACCTAAAAATAACGACATAACAGCACGTACATAACGGCTTAAGGAAATAAAACTGAACTTTTCCTTATGTCTTTATGTCAATGTTCACATAACCGTTGTGAGTGATTGTGTCGTTATGTCATTATGTTGTCATGTCGCTAGTGTAAACCAGGCCTCACTGAAGACAAAGAAATGTGAAAATGCCTTGCCCGCGCCATGACCTGAGCCGAGGAGTTAACAGTGACCCCAGAGTACTCCCCAGAGTTAGAAAAGCAAGCTCTTTACCAGGTCTTAGAGACAGCTTGAAGGGAAAAAAACTGATTTGGGGCTATGAAAAAACCTGCTTTGGGATCAGAAAAACCTGAATGCCTAAGCTGGAATTTGCATTATTTGAATCCAGAGTTTTCAGAGTTTGGCATTTTCAATATTTGGCAGGCCAAATCTTAAATCTTAATCAGACCAAATGTTCAATTTTGAGCAACGTTGCTTCACGTAAACGCTGAGGTTTATTGTAATCCAAGCGGGCAAAGCGAATAGAGACGAAAGCTATTGAAAAAAGTATGAAGAAAGATCAAATCGTTACGAAAGAGCTAAATAATGTAAATATGGACGTCGAAGGATTCTCTTAAGAAAGCACTGGATAACGACGTGCGTTTAAGTCGAATCTATTATTATTAAAAAGTTCCCTCGGGGCAGCTCAACTTCCCACTCAATTGCTGACGAGGGCTGCTTCGCCATATTTCCATACCCCGTTTATTGAAAATATGAAAACAATGTGGTGTACTTGCTAAAAGAAAAAGAGTAAAAACTGCCCGCGACTGACGCAAAGCCAGAGGTGTGGAGTTTTGGTATATGTGATCTTACGCGAGACAACTATTAACGCAACTTGGTTGCGACGACAGTAGGCAACGGTATGTTACGCGAGACGATTTTGGACGCAGCATTGTAAATTCAGGTAATAATGTTACAAGTTTTTGAATTGCTTTCAAAAACCTGCAACATGTTGCCCCAACGAAATGTTGCGTTCAAAGTTGCCTTGGCGCCATGTCACACGATATCGATTTTTAACGCGACAATGTTTGCGTTAAAAGTCGGCGTCAAAAATTGGTTCGTGAAACATCACCTTAAAGGGCGGAATCGATTTTCTGAGAAAGTACGAAAGTCGGCGACAGTTTGTCTGCATGGTTGTGTTAGATTATTCATTCAGGTCTTGGTGAGAGGGAAAAATAATTTCGACTATTATTAAACCTCTCCTTCGGGTTCCAAAAATTCAGTTTTGTAGTAGTGGCCGTAAATTTTGATTGTGCACGCTAGTTTAGAAAAGCAACTTGGCTCCTTCGCTTCAATTTGACAAAATACTTGCGGGAAATTTAGAGAGTTCGTGGGGTCAAATGGAATCATTGAATGCAGAAACGATCCGAATTTAAAATGTACAATTGTACATTTTCTAGAATACAGAACAAAGCACATGGTTGTTTGCAGTGTTTACGAGCTATTTCTCATTATCGAATATTTATACAAGCATTTGCAAAAGTAAACAATATAAATAATATTACACGACAGCACGAAGATATGACTATTATTTTTGAGTGGTAAAAACAATATTTTACGAAGGAGCGCAGAGAGTCAGCAAACTATTATTTTTAACGAGCTGGAAAATAAAATTCAAATCTTCAAACCACCATGCCGTATTTCGTACGAATTTTACGAGAGTGATGTATTTTCCAGTGAAACTTACGGGTCCAATAAATGGTAATAGATTAAATATTACCGATGAAATTTTAATCACGTCTTTTCAATAGTGCATATTAACAAACGAATCAGTTGGCAATATTATACTCAACGCATGGCTAATTTTCTTCAACGTTCCTTAGCTCAGGGATTTTGAATCAAAGTGTTCTACATTTGTACGTTTCACTTGGGTTTTCACGTTGGACGAACATGACAAAGATGAATTAAAGATCGTCAACTAAGGTTGTTTTCTGGTGCTTCAAGATGCAGAGGCCTAAACCATTCATAACCATATTCGTTACTTCTAACCATTGTTTTTTAGCATTCAATCTCTCTTTCGGATTTAATAAAATAATTTTGTTCTATTTTTCCGTGACTGGCCTTCATTAATCCTCTTAGGTAATTGCTTCATTATTTTTGCTAGTGAGTGTTTGAAATCCCTTCGCATTTTAAGTCGTCACATCAGTTGCGTCAACGGTATTTCCATTATCACAGCCCACAGTCAAATCCGTCAATGTATTTATTATTTCTAATGTGTTATGCCCCCACACATGAGTTGCATTATTGGCTTAGATATACCCGTTGCCTTAACGATCATTCACTACCTCTGTGCGTCAGTGAGGTATACATATGAAGAACGAAACACCACTATCTTCGTAGCTTGTAACACAACTTGAAGTGCAAGTAAGTCTATGATTGGCATTGGAGCATTCTCTAGTTCAGCTATTTCAGACTTTTATACCTTTATTATTTCTTGAGTTATGTTCGGCAATAGTGGTTTCGTGGTTAGCGAGCTAGCCTCTTGATCGAGCGGTCCCTGTTCGAGCCCTAGCCGGGGAAATGCACTATGTTCTGTTCTCGGGCAAGACACTCCACTCTCACGGTGCCTCTCTTTATTCAGGGGTATAAATGGGTGCCAGCGAATTAAATTTGGGGGTAACCCTGCAATGAACTGACATCCCATCCAGGGGGGAGTAGCACTCCTAATCGCTTAATGTTCCACGGAATAAGCTCCGGCTATCCTGAAGCAGACTTTACCTTACTTATTTCTTGGATTAGATATAGTAAATGTTTCAGTTTACTGAATTGGATCGTATTTAAGGGGCGTTTTGAGGGAGACAGCTTTCTGCAAATACTTCATTTCATGTAACAGACCTGGAAAGCAGAATTTATCAGTTTTCGTCGTCAGGATATCGAAATGACATGCATCAGCCTTATTTCTAATTGCACTTATTGTGTGGAAATATATCTGATCGACAAACATGAACTTAGTTCCGCAATATAGTTTTACTGTCCGATTGTCCTTCACCACATGATGTACATGTACGTAAACTGATGTGCGTTATGGTACGATCTAAAGTGTACTGAGAGTCTTTTGAATGCGTTTGAAGCTGACATCAGCGCAAATTATGTTCAAACGCTCAACTAATTCTGTGTCTCTCCATAGATCTTTACAATCATGTTTTCAAAGGCTATTTTGCTGTTTGTAGCTGTCCCATTGTCCTTGGCTCAAGGTAAGTTGTCGTGACTCTATCAAATGGAATGGTCAAGGGACACTGTCAATACGATTCAAACCTAAACCATTATTGTTAGGTTTTCCCAAGCGAAGCTGATACCTTGATCTTCTCTTGGTTTTCCTTTATCAATATCTATCTTTTGGATTCTAAATTTTCGTAGTTATATTCATGACAGTACCCCCAGTAATTCTTTCTCTTGTCAACATCTTGTTGTTTCTAAGTTTCAAGTCGAATTAGAATTAATCCATTGTCCTTTGGCCGAGTCAGCACACGAGACATTTTGTAACAATCCGCACTCTACATTTAAACTGACACTTTTAACTTTCCTGATGAAATGAAAACAGACATTGACAACGCCATTGAAATTTTGCGAGATTCCATGGTGATATGATTACTAAGCACCAGTGAACATCGGGAGAGAAAGAAAACGGCTGTAAAACTCTTCCCGACTTCACGCGTTTCAATTTTCTGCACCCTTTGCACATTATAGTGTAAATATGACCAATGGATATTTTTCACGATGTTTGATATACGTTTTTGATTTATTCATCTAAACAAGAAGTAAGACTCACTAGTGGATTAATCATGCCGAATTTAGTAAATATGCGATTCCGTTGCAAACTTAATTGGAAAGTTTGAGGTCCCATATTTTCATGAGTTTGCAACAGATCTATGTTCTGGTTCTTATGAAACTTCGCATATTTACTAAATTCAGTATGATCTATGAAGATGATCCGTGATTTATGGAGGTGAGGTTTTCTTTCTATGAAAAATACGTTAAAATGTTGATAATGCATGATATCGTCAAAAAGGTCCATTGAGGCCAAAGAATGGTCACATGTAAACGCAGAGTTTTATTTAAAGTCATTCTTGTCGGAACCCAGTGATGCTCAAATTGAATGAGGTGGGTAACTCTTCACGAACCTAGTTGAGCACATCTGTGGACGCTAATATACCTTTTTTTCCTCGTTCAGAGACGCCCCTGGTTCGAATTCTACCTGAAAAAAGTTTCACCGCCAGCTCTTCTTACAACGACTCCGTCAAAGCGCCTAACGTGCGTTTCGCGAGAGGAATGTTCGTCTCGTCAGCGTCCAAGGAACCCTGGTGCCCAGCTACGAGAGAAGATTATGATTACGAGAAAGAGTTTGTAATTGCGGACTTGGGATGCCCACAAACAGTTCATAGAGTGGAGGGAAAAGATCCTCATGCACTGTTTTATTCCGGGGAATACTCTAACAACAAGAAAAAATGGAAGATTTTAGCATCAGAGGACGAGACATATTATGATAAAAATATGAAAGTAAGTGTCACATCTGAGACCGAGGCAATGTTTCACCCACGGCCTCGTCCTCAGGCTCCGTCGGTGAACAGCCCCATAGCTCCACGCGCACCGCGCTCAAATTAAGGAGTGACGCCTGGGGACGACGTAGTTTTATCTCGTCCAGTAAGTTGATGAGAAGTACCAAAGGTTCCTCAGGTTTTAAGAAAACAGAAAAAAAGCTTTCTTATGCCTGTCTTCGTTCCAATGAAACTGCATGGAACATACNTCGCTTCACAGGGAACCGTTTCCGCCAGAAAAGGTCAAGAAAGAGACAACTTCCAGAAGAAAACGTTCAGTGAACTATACTGGACTGTAAACGCGATCTCACTTTCCACTGAGTTCCAACAACGATCTGCTTCTAATTTCTCGCAACAAGTTCAATATAAGCCAAGCATGCAGGTCATGGGAGATAAGGAATAAATCATCAAACAGAAATTGTGTTAGCCACGGATAAAGTGACTTTCATCTTTCGTCTATGGAAGGCTGTGATGAGAATTCAAAGACTTTCAAATAGACAGAAGTACCCTCCTACACTTTTATACAGTCAAATTTTATATATCAACAAACACATTTTTTATTAAGTGAATATACATTTTGGAATGGGTTGTTGTAAAAAATGGAACACAAATTGGTTCAAAAAGTCTAGAAGTCAAAAAGTCTTCAAAACTGCGATTGATCCAAAATCGAGAAAACTTTATCTTTGGGGATGTATGTTGTGCAAAGGGAGAAATTTTTATTGATCACTATACAAATCTAACTTGGCTCCGAAACTTTGGGGAACAAAATAATTAATTATTCATCCGTCAACCTCATTGTCATTTCTTTTGTTTTATGTCCTCAAGTCTCGGATCCATTATAATAATATATCCAAATTGGCCGTTTTGTTCAGACGACTTCTTTTCACTTTGTCTCCTGTATCGGTTTACTGGCTGTTTCTGAGTTATTTCGATTTTAGTTTCAAACTAGCAGCACAGGTTACAATATCTTTAATACTGTTGTTTACATTCGTAACTTTCAAGATAGTGGAACGATTTGAAAGCTCTTTCAATCCTATGTTTTTTCATCACTGCATGGGGTCTAGTTTTGCTTAGTTAGCAAATGTTGTCACTATGTTTTGCTTGTTTTATCATGATGATAAGGAATCCACCTCACTGTTTGAAATATTTGCATGAAGAATTTTTGAAGCGCAACTATGACTGAATTGTCCCGTTAACTTATTAACCGAGAAGAAAAACCTGACTAAGAGTTTAAGAAAGCTCGCGATAATGCAATTATCAAAGCCGCGCCCGGCAATGGTACAATAAATTGATTTTATATTTGTTCTTTTTGTCTTATTGCATCTTGTTCTGACTAAATACCTCCAAACACAAGCTGAAGACAAACTATTACTAAAAACAGTAGTTTAAGGCCTCACTCGAAAGAACACTACTACTGAAGGACAACATTCAACGCTTAGGCCTGATTCACACTAGCGACATAACGACCTAAAAATAACGACATAACAGCACGTACATAACGGCTTAAGGAAATAAAACTGAACTTTTCCTTATGTCTTTATGTCAATGTTCACATAACCGTTGTGAGTGATTGTGTCGTTATGTCATTATGTTGTCATGTCGCTAGTGTAAACCAGGCCTCACTGAAGACAAAGAAATGTGAAAATGCCTTGCCCGCGCCATGACCTGAGCCGAGGAGTTAACAGTGACCCCAGAGTACTCCCCAGAGTTAGAAAAGCAAGCTCTTTACCAGGTCTTAGAGACAGCTTGAAGGGAAAAAAACTGATTTGGGGCTATGAAAAAACCTGCTTTGGGATCAGAAAAACCTGAATGCCTAAGCTGGAATTTGCATTATTTGAATCCAGAGTTTTCAGAGTTTGGCATTTTCAATATTTGGCAGGCCAAATCTTAAATCTTAATCAGACCAAATGTTCAATTTTGAGCAACGTTGCTTCACGTAAACGCTGAGGTTTATTGTAATCCAAGCGGGCAAAGCGAATAGAGACGAAAGCTATTGAAAAAAGTATGAAGAAAGATCAAATCGTTACGAAAGAGCTAAATAATGTAAATATGGACGTCGAAGGATTCTCTTAAGAAAGCACTGGATAACGACGTGCGTTTAAGTCGAATCTATTATTATTAAAAAGTTCCCTCGGGGCAGCTCAACTTCCCACTCAATTGCTGACGAGGGCTGCTTCGCCATATTTCCATACCCCGTTTATTGAAAATATGAAAACAATGTGGTGTACTTGCTAAAAGAAAAAGAGTAAAAACTGCCCGCGACTGACGCAAAGCCAGAGGTGTGGAGTTTTGGTATATGTGATCTTACGCGAGACAACTATTAACGCAACTTGGTTGCGACGACAGTAGGCAACGGTATGTTACGCGAGACGATTTTGGACGCAGCATTGTAAATTCAGGTAATAATGTTACAAGTTTTTGAATTGCTTTCAAAAACCTGCAACATGTTGCCCCAACGAAATGTTGCGTTCAAAGTTGCCTTGGCGCCATGTCACACGATATCGATTTTTAACGCGACAATGTTTGCGTTAAAAGTCGGCGTCAAAAATTGGTTCGTGAAACATCACCTTAAAGGGCGGAATCGATTTTCTGAGAAATTACGAAAGTCGGCGACAGTTTGTCTGCATGGTTGTGTTAGATTATTCATTCAGGTCTTGGTGAGAGGGAAAAATAATTTCGACTATTATTAAACCTCTCCTTCGGGTTCCAAAAATTCAGTTTTGTAGTAGTGGCCGTAAATTTTGATTGTGCACGCTAGTTTAGAAAAGCAACTTGGCTCCTTCGCTTCAATTTGACAAAATACTTGCGGGAAATTTAGAGAGTTCGTGGGGTCAAATGGAATCATTGAATGCAGAAACGATCCGAATTTAAAATGTACAATTGTACATTTTCTAGAATACAGAACAAAGCACATGGTTGTTTGCAGTGTTTACGAGCTATTTCTCATTATCGAATATTTATACAAGCATTTGCAAAAGTAAACAATATAAATAATATTACACGACAGCACGAAGATATGACTATTATTTTTGAGTGGTAAAAACAATATTTTACGAAGGAGCGCAAAGAGTCAGCAAACTATTATTTTTAACGAGCTGGAAAATAAAATTCAAATCTTCAAACCACCATGCCGTATTTCGTACGAATTTTACGAGAGTGATGTATTTTCCAGTGAAACTTACGGGTCCAATAAATGGTAATAGATTAAATATTACCGATGAAATTTTAATCACGTCTTTTCAATAGTGCATATTAACAAACGAATCAGTTGGCAATATTATACTCAACGCATGGCTAATTTTCTTCAACGTTCCTTAGCTCAGGGATTTTGAATCAAAGTGTTCTACATTTGTACGTTTCACTTGGGTTTTCACGTTGGACGAACATGACAAAGATGAATTAAAGATCGTCAACTAAGGTTGTTTTCTGGTGCTTCAAGATGCAGAGGCCTAAACCATTCATAACCATATTCGTTACTTCTAACCATTGTTTTTTAGCATTCAATCTCTCTTTCGGATTTAATAAAATAATTTTGTTCTATTTTTCCGTGACTGGCCTTCATTAATCCTCTTAGGTAATTGCTTCATTATTTTTGCTAGTGAGTGTTTGAAATCCCTTCGCATTTTAAGTCGTCACATCAGTTGCGTCAACGGTATTTCCATTATCACAGCCCACAGTCAAATCCGTCAATGTATTTATTATTTCTAATGTGTTATGCCCCCACACATGAGTTGCATTATTGGCTTAGATATACCCGTTGCCTTAACGATCATTCACTACCTCTGTGCGTCAGTGAGGTATACATATGAAGAACGAAACACCACTATCTTCGTAGCTTGTAACACAACTTGAAGTGCAAGTAAGTCTATGATTGGCATTGGAGCATTCTCTAGTTCAGCTATTTCAGACTTTTATACCTTTATTATTTCTTGAGTTATGTTCGGCAATAGTGGTTTCGTGGTTAGCGAGCTAGCCTCTTGATCGAGCGGTCCCTGTTCGAGCCCTAGCCGGGGAAATGCACTATGTTCTGTTCTCGGGCAAGACACTCCACTCTCACGGTGCCTCTCTTTATTCAGGGGTATAAATGGGTGCCAGCGAATTAAATTTGGGGGTAACCCTGCAATGAACTGACATCCCATCCAGGGGGGAGTAGCACTCCTAATCGCTTAATGTTCCACGGAATAAGCTCCGGCTATCCTGAAGCAGACTTTACCTTACTTATTTCTTGGATTAGATATAGTAAATGTTTCAGTTTACTGAATTGGATCGTATTTAAGGGGCGTTTTGAGGGAGACAGCTTTCTGCAAATATTTCATTTCATGTAACAGACCTGGAAAGCAGAATTTATCAGTTTTCGTCGTCAGGATATCGAAATGACATGCATCAGCCTTATTTCTAATTGCACTTATTGTGTGGAAATATATCTGATCGACAAACATGAACTTAGTTCCGCAATATAGTTTTACTGTCCGATTGTCCTTCACCACATGATGTACATGTACGTAAACTGATGTGCGTTATGGTACGATCTAAAGTGTACTGAGAGTCTTTTGAATGCGTTTGAAGCTGACATCAGCGCAAATTATGTTCAAACGCTCAACTAATTCTGTGTCTCTCCATAGATCTTTACAATCATGTTTTCAAAGGCTATTTTGCTGTTTGTAGCTGTCCCATTGTCCTTGGCTCAAGGTAAGTTGTCGTGACTCTATCAAATGGAATGGTCAAGGGACACTGTCAATACGATTCAAACCTAAACCATTATTGTTAGGTTTTCCCAAGCGAAGCTGATACCTTGATCTTCTCTTGGTTTTCCTTTATCAATATCTATCTTTTGGATTCTAAATTTTCGTAGTTATATTCATGACAGTACCCCCAGTAATTCTTTCTCTTGTCAACATCTTGTTGTTTCTAAGTTTCAAGTCGAATTAGAATTAATCCATTGTCCTTTGGCCGAGTCAGCACACGAGACATTTTGTAACAATCCGCACTCTACATTTAAACTGACACTTTTAACTTTCCTGATGAAATGAAAACAGACATTGACAACGCCATTGAAATTTTGCGAGATTCCATGGTGATATGATTACTAAGCACCAGTGAACATCGGGAGAGAAAGAAAACGGCTGTAAAACTCTTCCCGACTTCACGCGTTTCAATTTTCTGCACCCTTTGCACATTATAGTGTAAATATGACCAATGGATATTTTTCACGATGTTTGATATACGTTTTTGATTTATTCATCTAAACAAGAAGTAAGACTCACTAGTGGATTAATCATGCCGAATTTAGTAAATATGCGATTCCGTTGCAAACTTAATTGGAAAGTTTGAGGTCCCATATTTTCATGAGTTTGCAACAGATCTATGTTCTGGTTCTTATGAAACTTCGCATATTTACTAAATTCAGTATGATCTATGAAGATGATCCGTGATTTATGGAGGTGAGGTTTTCTTTCTATGAAAAATACGTTAAAATGTTGATAATGCATGATATCGTCAAAAAGGTCCATTGAGGCCAAAGAATGGTCACATGTAAACGCAGAGTTTTATTTAAAGTCATTCTTGTCGGAACCCAGTGATGCTCAAATTGAATGAGGTGGGTAACTCTTCACGAACCTAGTTGAGCACATCTGTGGACGCTAATATACCTTTTTTTCCTCGTTCAGAGACGCCCCTGGTTCGAATTCTACCTGAAAAAAGTTTCACCGCCAGCTCTTCTTACAACGACTCCGTCAAAGCGCCTAACGTGCGTTTCGCGAGAGGAATGTTCGTCTCGTCAGCGTCCAAGGAACCCTGGTGCCCAGCTACGAGAGAAGATTATGATTACGAGAAAGAGTTTGTAATTGCGGACTTGGGATGCCCACAAACAGTTCATAGAGTGGAGGGAAAAGATCCTCATGCACTGTTTTATTCCGGGGAATACTCTAACAACAAGAAAAAATGGAAGATTTTAGCATCAGAGGACGAGACATATTATGATAAAAATATGAAAGTAAGTGTCACATCTGAGACCGAGGCAATGTTTCACCCACGGCCTCGTCCTCAGGCTCCGTCGGTGAACAGCCCCATAGCTCCACGCGCACCGCGCTCAAATTAAGGAGTGACGCCTGGGGACGACGTAGTTTTATCTCGTCCAGTAAGTTGATGAGAAGTACCAAAGGTTCCTCAGGTTTTAAGAAAACAGAAAAAAAGCTTTCTTATGCCTGTCTTCGTTCCAATGAAACTGCATGGAACATACCTTCTTCACTGACGTGATCATGATGTATTTTAGCTTATTTTGAAATGTTTACATTCATATACTGCTATCGTTAGGTTTTTGGGAAAAGTATGGCCACATTGTGGGTCAGATCAATGAACTTTTATGGCCATAGAGTAACTAAAGTTCCAATCCATTAAGCTTTACTTGCATTATTAACTCGCGTGATCAGTTTTTGACGTTTTGCACTTTTATCGGGCTAGCCACATCTCTGTAGGTAAAATATCTGCATTGCACCTCTGATTTGCAGTACTTGTTTGATATTCTTCTATGGCAATAAAGGCGATGTTTCTGTCGGGAAACCAAGCTATTAGGTTAGGGCTGGTTTTCACTACAATACAAGCATTAGCAGAAGCGACATTCGCAAACACATAGCTAGAATCAAACTGTTCTGCTGCAAAGAACTGAAATTGTTATGCGTTCCGTGAGTGGTTAAATCTTCAGCGAAGTAAGTCTCTGATACTTTGTACTGAACTCCATTAAATTAATCATGATTTCGTTTTTGTCTTTAGATGTTCGAAGCAAACAATCAAGCATTGATAACACCGCCCGTGCGTGCTCGCTTCTTCAAATTCCGAATTCCAATTTACTCTTACAGCGATGAACGGGGATCTCAGCCTTGCATTAAAGTGGAACTGTACGGTTCACCTGGTAGGTTACGTTCCTACGCAGTGTTCAGAGAGAAAACGATCGACGCACATCTCCCATTCAGCAATGCATAAATTGTACTCCTCAGTTTTTCAGTTGGGTTTGGGCTATTCCCTTAACCATGAAATTTTGTTATTGGTAATAGCACTGGGCTTAATTGTAATTATTCTACCCGGATTTTTAGATACTCTATAGGTACTCTAAAGGTAATCATGACTGTCGTGGTGTTTTAATATCTCATCTTATGTTAATCAAAATAGATTTTTGCGATTTAATTTCTCCATTTTCCCCTTAATTTAACTTTCGATTGAGAAGATGTATCAAACACTCAAGACAGTGTTTGATCACATTACCAAACACCTCGAAGTTCGTCAAAATACTCCGCTATGCGTCGTATTAAGACTCTGTTCTCGGTGTTTGGAAATGTGATCAGACACGGACTTTCGTGTTTGATAGATTCCTAGTTCCACCGTAACAAGTTTCTAAGCTGATGTCTCGAGCATTAGCGCTTCGTCAAAGGAAGGTGGCCTCTTTCAGCCCATAACTCCTTGCGTGACTAGAGACTCGGTAGTATTCATCCCATATAATCCCCGGGACAAGACTTCTTTTAAACCTTCCCATTCAAGGGCCATATTGACCGAATTCAGTTGTCACAGGGAATATTCGGGAGGAACGATTACTGAATAACAAGTATTACTGATTAATCGCGTTTCATTTCGTCTTCTTTTAGACCTAGAAGATTCTGTACAACCGATTGGATGTTTCACTGAGACGAAAAAGAAACGACTCCTGCCTGACGTTTACCACACAGTTAAAGGCCGTGTTGATAAGAAGTACCCAGATATTTTGGCCGTTTACGAGGAATGCAAGCAAAAGGCTGCTGAAAATTCGAAACCAATTGAAATATTCGGTGTCTGGAATTTTAAACAATGCGTAACGACTGAGACTGGCAAAGGCCATGAGTATTTCAAAAATGCCCGTAACTCTGGTAAATGTAAAGCTTGTCAAGATAAAGGAATCGGGACTTCGAAAGCTGTATTTGTATACAAAAAATAATTTATATTAGTATCACCCAACTAGTGGACTAATGCAAATCCTGCATTTTGATTGGCTACGCTACTAGGGGACTATTAGTAATAGTCATCGAGTAG